CCACCACAACCACCACCCCCACAACCACCACACACAGGTCCACCCTACACCCCCCCCCCCCTTGCCCTCCTGGGTCGCTGGGGTGTAGCAATTTAAAGGTTTTACACCTCATTATATATTCACAGTTGGGTAAAATAGGGGGGTCTGGCGCGCGAGAGTGGCTCTTCTGAATATGTTGGTCGTCGACACCAATCATTATATCACCCCTGGTCTCTTGGTTGCTTGTTAGGGGCTCTTAATGACCCAACTGCTGTCCCGCCGCTGGTCATTCCACGCAGGGAAACGAAGAGGAGAAGAGAAGAGAGATGTGAAGAACTTGGAGGAGGGAGATAAGAGAGATGAAAATTATGCTTGATGGAGCAAGATAGAAGGAAGGATGCTGGTGGAAGCATGCAGCCTAGTATAACTCCACTAGTATAACCCCCACTAGTATAATCCCGTCAGTATAATCCTGTAGTATTTTAATTCCCCCAGTAAACCAATACTGAAAAGAATAGAACCTTCGGGGGGGGCTTATTGTTAACCTGTAAGGCATTATAAATACCAGCGGAAATATAATCCACGCTATACCACCCTATAATCCCATTATAGCCAATACGACTATCAGAAAGTTGGTTCTCACGCGACAGGATCAATATTACGGGAATGGAAATGATTTCTATCGATCCTGGTGTCAAAATGTCCGCGCCCGCCCTGGAAACCTGATCCCCAGCTCTCTCACCCCCTGTGGTAACTGACTCGGGTTTCAGCTCTTGGTCCCGGCCCCTCCTCGCCTTGCCTTTTCGACCCGTTATTCATTCCGTGCAGTGAGACTCATTTCACTCGTTTTGTTCATCGTATTTTGATTTAAAAAGCTGCGTATCGAATCGGCTTTGATAACTTTTTGATCCATGTTATATTTATTTTATGATTCTTAGAGTGAATGAGATCTTTCTGGCATCTCTGTGACGCGTTTGCTGTTTTTTCCGGGTTCGAATCCTTCTAAATAAGGCTACTTTTGATTTGCTTATTGATTCACATCACGGAAATGGGATTTGTTCGCGTGTCTGTTTGCGTGTTCAGATATTAGAATTTGTTCAAAGTTTAGAATTTGTTCAAAGTTTAGAATTTGCAGCCAGTCAAAACAAAGGCGTTACATGAAACGTGTTTAGTACCGGAAGTAAATATGGACTGTACATGCATTGTTTTGTTTATAATAATAATAATCAAGCAGAGCCAGGATAAGTTGTACTGTGTAGGAGATATGGGTAATGGGGTACTCTGAACCCTGTCTAGGTAAACTTGTTGAGTACTCTGAACAATGTCTAGGTAAACTTGTTGAGTACTCTGAACCCTGTCTAGGTAAACCACTTTTGAGTACTCTGAACCCTGTCTAGGTAAACTTTTGTTGAGTAATCTGAACCCTGTCTAGGTAAACTTTTGTTGAGTAATCTGAACCCTGTCTAGGTAAACTTTTGTTGAGTAATCTGAACCCTGTATAGGTAAACCACTGTTGAGTACTCTGAACCCTGCCTAGGTAAACCACTGTTGAGTACTCTGAACCCTGTCTAGGTAAAGTCTTGTTGAGTACTCTGAACCCTGTCTAGGTAAACTTCTTGAGTACTCTGAACCCTCTAGGTAAACCACTTTTGAGTACTCTGAACCCTCTAGGTAAACCAGTGTAATTCACAACAAACTACACAGTCGATGCCTCGTCTCTAACCAGCATCATATAACAATATCTAACACGGGAATTGGCAGTTGAAAGGCGGGGCCAAAGAGCCAGAGCTCAACCCCCGCAAGCACAACTTGGTGAGTACAGGAATGGTATGAGTGTAATAGTTATTTAGTGATTGATTATAACAGCAGTTTATGATACTTAGAACAGTTTAATTGGGCGGTTATAGATCTATATAGACTGAGGGGCCACTAGAGGAGTAGGGTCTAAAACCTGTGGCATTTATGGACATCTCTACGTCATCGTTCTAGCGTGTGCGTGACGTCACTGTGACGTCATAGCGTTCATAACTGATGCAGATTTCAAATTCTGCCACAGATGTGAAGGTGCTGGTGGTGGTGGCGGCAAGACTGTGCACTGGTAGAGACTCCAATATCCTCCATTACATCCTCGTCTCGATAAAATGGCTCCTCACAAGGACAATCATATTCACAGGAAATCAAACCTCCGTAATAGGCTATTTGCCTTTAACCTTCGTTCTGGTGTGGTGTTAGCGGCTGTGTATGTTTTTTTCAGAAATTATCAGTTGGTTTCTTATTGTTTAATACGGCTAGATGCGTGTGTTGGGTGCGCGGTTGGACGTTTGAAACAGGAGAGGATTGATCATAATGAGATCAGGTTGTGCGGTGAAAAAGAAGCGAGTTTTAGAAAGAAAACGAAAAGTAATGATCAATATGGAACAAGGTGGTAACGCGGACCAGTAAAATATGGGGTCTGCTCTCCTTTGGTCAGATGCCAGATACCTCCAATTGCAACAATTGTACCTACTATTTATTTACACTATATAACATTTACGAATAAAAAAAGAACTATATACACAAATATATATAAACACTTAAGACTGCTTCAAGATACGATTTGTTATGATTCACGGCAGAGACAAGGCGAGAATATAAAGTAGCTTTTGTTATTTAAAATAAACGGTTACCCCGCACCCTCTGGATCGCTGCCATAACAGGCCTGCCAGACGCTCTTGAATACACGCTTTGTTTTGTTTATTGCCTTGTTTGTCCTCGACCCTGGACCAAGTTGAGACCACGTGGAAAGGGTAATTGAAACTGTATTATTCAGATCGTACATTGTATATATATATATATATATATATATTAATATATATATATATATATATATATATATATATATATATATATATATATATATATATATCGTTTTAAGCCGCGCCCATTATGCTTTCAGGGTTTAATTTAATTTATTATCAAGGAATTGTTCATATTGATGAATGATTCGGGTTTTTTGTTGTTTTTGTTAATAGTGGTGGGAAATGTAAACAAGTCCAGCGTTGCCACGAATATCGCGTGTTTGTGACTGGCGCTGTTGCCAGGTCCACGCTGGATGAGCTGAAGATGGCAAATGTGTCAACAAAATGGCATCTCCCTTGTGTATAGCCCCTGACCCTGGGGTCCTGTTTCTTCTCTGTTGTTTTTTTGGGGGGGGGGGTTTGCTGTTATTTAAGAGATAGTACAGTCTGTATTTTGTATCGTGTAGTTTTGAAGATGGCACGGGGTTAAAAGGTTAAAAAGGTTAAAAGTAAGTAATTTGCGTGCGTGCTCAGTTGTGCTTGCAGGGTCAGCATCTTCTATTAATTACGGGCTATTCATGCCCGTGCCATCTTTTGGGTGGTTTAATCTTTATCAATCAATCATCTTCTATTAAGTCCGGCCTTTCAACCATCATTATTAGTTCAATGTAGTGACTAGTTTCCTTCTTTTTTTTATCTTATTACATTTACATTTAAAACTATTGAATTGGCTACGATAACTTCCCCATCTAGTCCGTTAAATTTACTTACAAGACTGACAAAGTTTTTTTTTGTCTGACATCTCTGTGACTCACCTATGATTCCAG